GACGGGAAACATCGCATACATAAAATATGACAAACTGATATTGTTAAAACCGAAGGACAATGATAGAGAGAAGAGGAAAAGAGAAACTTCAGATTCTCCTAAGTCATCAGCTCAGAAGAAAGTAAATATAAACCAAACCTTGAGAAATCTTTCACAATCGCTATCCAAAACTAGCAAGAAAGAGGTCATCAGACCTAGCACACTAAACTATGCCAACCGAGCAAGTTCTGATCCACAAATAAACCCTTCAAAAACTAATAACCGCCTCAGAAAATCTGAAACAAACAATAGTAATAACAACCAAAATAAAATAACAAAAAATCTCCCACAACGGCTGGTCCCCGCGGGAGTTATAGACCATCACCCTGTAACAAAAAGCAGAAACAAAATACTCAACATTGCAACCTTAAATATCAGAACCCTTAGAACTGCAGAAAGCCTAAATGAACTAGAAAAAGCCTTTGAAGACATAAAATGGGACATCCTGGGAATTAGCGAGATGCGAAAAATAGGAGAAAAGATTGAGGAACGCACTGACTACATACTATTCCATAAAGGTGAAGTAGTTGGTCAGTAGGGTTTCCATTCCGTAATTACGTAATTACGCAGTTACGTAATTACGCAAAAAATTAAACTTCTGACAAGTCCGTAACTGAAGGGTTGAAATCCGTAATTACGTAAGTATAAGTCCTTATTATCATCATCATCATATCAGCCTATTTCTACCCACTACTGCTAGGTGAAGGGTTTTAATAATAAATAAAAATAATATATAAATCAATTTAGCGACTTATTACATACAACATCCTCTTTTTTAAACAGTATGACATGATAACCCAGGAGCCAACATTGAAACAGAACGAGCGGGTATTTCCACGTAGAGAATAAATTCAATCCGGAATATAATCTGTAGCTCTCGGTAATTCCCCGCGCTATATTTCAGTCTTGGATAACGTAGGACAATAATTCTCTTTGACACGTAAGTAATAGAGTTTAATTTTGGTAAACAATAGTTCACAGGGAATCCCCGCGTCTTTCTATGTGTGAGATTAGCTCTGATTATTTTTAATGTATGAAAGAAAGTCTCAGTACTCATTTGTCTGTCATCAGGTTCAATTGACCTAGTCGATAGTTTTTTTTTTTTAATTGACTGATGTGTAATTTTGAACACTGCTTCGCTGGAGAGATTTCATTTAGTGTATGAACGTATGGAACCACAACAAATATGTAAGTACTGTTATTTTATTTATTTTTCAAACGGTGAGACTGAGTATAAATTGTGATATGATTGTTTTATTATTGAATCTAACTAATGTGGCATAGGTATAAACGTTTGCGTGCGAGTTGCGAGGTTTTAAGTCGCACGTTAGTATGTTAGTTTTGTCCGCGCGTATCTCAAAAAATATCATTTCATTCGACGATAATTAAATATATAGGCTAGCACCGACTTAAAAAAAATAGTTGGCATCTTTATTATCTCCCTTTCACTTATCCATTAATAAATTAAAGTTTTGAAGGCGGTTTATTTTATAAAAATATTTTTATTTTTGTTTGTTTGTCCTTTTCCACGTCAAAGCGGAGCAATAGTTCATGATTTTTTGTATAGATATAGTTGGGGGACTAGAGAGTGCTATATCAAATATTACCTACATACTTACTTACTATTTAGTTGTTAATTAAATTGTTTTACCTAATTGTTTTAGGTCGTCAACAAAGAAGACAATTTTCAAGGAGTTCTTAAACAAACGGACAACATCTTCAATCTGGGAACATTTTCTAAGGGCCGATAATGGACAAACCGTCGAGTGTAAACACTGTAAAAAAGTTTTAAAAACGCCTGGTGGTGCAACTGGAGCATTACATACTCACTTGCGGGCCAAACATATCACTGAAGTGCCACGAGCGAGTACTTCAACATCAGAGTCCGATAGTGCTCAAAGTCAAGAAAAAAGGAAGGGCGCCCCGGCCCCACATGAAGCACCCAAAAAGAAAACTAAACTCACGGTTTATTATGTAAGCGACTCTTCCATGGAGTTAAGAGTGACTAGAATGGCAGCATCGGATGGTATCCCGTTGAGCAAATTTTGTACTTCTGAAGACCTAAGGCATGTTTTCAAAAAATCCGGCTATGATCTACCGAAATCGCCAACAACTATAACCAGGATAGTTTTAGAGCTACATGATAATACAAAAAACGCACTGATACGTCTTTTAAAGGAAATGAAGTCCCAAAACAAAAGATTTACAATGACATTTGATGAGTGGACCTCTACCCGAAATAAAAGATATATGAATATAAATATCCACAGTAAAGATCTCGAACCAGCTAATTACAAAAATTTGGGTCTGGTGAGAATAAAAGATTCAATGCCAGCAGATGTAGGAACTCAGCTAATACAACAACATTTGAGCAACTTCGGACTTAGCCTCGAAGACATAGTTGCTTTCACAACAGACGGAGCCAGCGTAATGGTTAAAATGGGCAAAAATTTTGACGGCCACCATCAATTGTGTTTCGCCCACGGCATACAACTTGCGGTTCTCGATGTGCTATATAAGTCAAAGAACCAGTCAACGCCCAATCCCAACCCAGAGCAACAAGATAAAGAACTGGATTACGACTCTGAAGATTCTGAAGAAAACTATGAAGGATTTGATATCGAAGTACCAAGAATTCCAGAATCTGAATTTCTGTACAAAGATACTATAAAAAAAGTACGAGATTTGGTTAAATCTTTTAAAAAGTCACCCTTGAAAAATGACTTGTTGCATAAATACTCTGTAGAAGAATGTGGAAAGGGCCTGGATCTTATACTCGACTGCAAGACTAGGTGGAACAGCTTGTCGGATATGATTGGCCGATTTTTAAAATTAAAATCAAGTGTCATGAAGGCATTACTGGATTTGAAATCAAATATAAATTTTACAGAAAAAGAAATCCAAGACCTGCACGATATTCATCATAGTTTAGATGTTATAAAAACAACTGTGATGTCTTTGTGTCGCCGGGATTCAAACTTATTGACGGCAGATGCTGCTCTTCAGTTTATGTTAAATAAACTTGATCATCAGCACAACGAACTCAGTGAAATGCTTGCTATTTCCCTTAGAAAAAGAATAAAAGAGAGACGAACGAGTGTATCTGGTATTTTACAGTATTTGCATAACAATGAACAATTTTACGAAACCATATCAACAGAAACCTTCACAAAACCGACGTCAAATTATATAAGGACATATATAACAAGATTATTAGAAAGGCTGAAATTAACAGCTAACACAACGTCTGCACAGACAAGTCAAAGTCCAATACAACAAATAAGCACAGGACATACTGACTCCAGTGACGAAGAGTTAACTGTAGCCCAGGAATTAGAAAAAGAGATATGTAAAGCCACGTCACAGGTAAACAAATCTACGGTTAACACAGATCTTGAGTCCATTGTTAGAGTGGAAATGTGCATCTATGATAGTGCTGGCGGTGGTCGTGGAGTTTACCTCACAGCAGCGTATAATTATTTACTATCAATTACACCAACAAGTGTTGAAGCTGAACGTGCTTTTTCTTCAGCTGGTTATCTATGTAGTAAATTAAGAAGTTCATTAAGCGATAAAACACTAAACGCGTTGTCGTTTATGAGATCTCATTTTCAGGAAAAGTCAAATAAGTAAAATAAAAGAGCATTCTGTTAAGGAAAAAGATCTCTTTATTTTGTTATAAATCTATCTAATCTAATTTATCTAATATCTTTGTGTAGTGATTGGAGATTAAGTTATATGATTGGTATTCAATAAAAACTTTAATCAAAGTTCTTGTACACTTCTTACATTACCCATTGCTACCTATAAAATAAAATATTCGATTTCAAAAATATCTTAGAAATTACGTAATTACGTAGTTACGTAATTGGACCACCAAAATTCGTAATCAGTTACGTAATTAACATATCCGTAATTTTGGAAGCCCTATTGGTCAGAGAGGAGTAGGATTCTTAATCAAACAGTCAATGAAACAACACATACAACTAACTAATAGTGGTAGAGCCACGCGGCAGCTTTTGCTGTCACACGGATGGGCCGGTTCGAACCGGGGTGGTACCACGACCTCACAGAAAACCAGCGTGAAGTAGAGGTTTACATCTGTGTTTCGCTTGCTGAGTGCAGGTGGCCGGAGGCCCTTTTTAGTGGAAATGAGGCATTCCATGTTAGTCCTCACGGGTGACAACGCATCTACATTTTGATTTGTAATAGAGGATAGATGTAGATGTCTATGGGCCGCAGCAACCACTTACCATCAGGTGGACTGTGTGCTCGTTTGTCACCCTTATCCTATAAAAAAAATACAAGAGCTAATAGGAATCTCTTATCGAATAACCATTCTTAACATCAGCATACCAGGTAATAAAAAAAATATGGTCAATCATACAAACTTATGCTCCGACTGAGCAAGCACCAAAAGCAGAAATTAAACATTTCTACAAAGAATTATCACAAATGCTAACAACATATTAACATAACCATCTTATTATAATGGGCGACTTCAATGTACAATTCGGAGCGAAACAATGCAAGGAGGAAAACGTCCTGGGGAACTTTGGCCAAGGAAGAAGAAGTCCCCATGGTGAATTGCTAGTCGAAATCTTGCTGCAACACAACCTAATGCTCTTGAACAGTTTATATAAGAAAAACCAAAAGAACAAGTGGACATGGATATCTCCCAATGGCAACACCAGAAACAAAATTTACTACATAACAACTATTATGTTTGCTCTATATATATTGTAATGATTACACATAATATTGTACTTAATTATTTATTTGAACTAGGTTTACATTTTACAATATAATACGACTACGATGTAATGGGAGCAAAAAATGTATATATTGGCCATAGATAATATAAAATAAGTCTTCCATTTGTCGAGTCATAGACATGCGCTTTACGTTTATTGTTTATGGACATTTCCTCAATGTCCAACAGTCTCTCCCACGTTATTATTTTACAGGTTTAGCCGATCCGGTTTCCTTCTTATTCTTTGTGATCGGCGGTGCCCAATTTCAGGTGTGTTATTGCTAGTAGTAACTTCTCCAGGTAATGTAGGTTGCGCCGGTTCTTGCTCTGGTTGTTTTTTCACCGGCAGTTGTTCCTTTCCAGGACTTTGTGAAAGAGGTGCAGCCTTCATCTTTACAGGACTGATTGTGGAGTTTCCTTCATTTTAGGATTGTTCTCTGTAGGTATGACTTCTTGCAGATGTCTCGAATTTAGCTGATAGGTAACTGGTATGTAAGGGTTTTCACTAGTACACAAGGTTTTGATAATTTGGTCCACATGCCTATGGTGTATCCTACCATCTACTTCTACCTCATAATGTAGTTTTCCTCTTCTGTTTATAATCTTTCCAAATTTCCATTTATTGCTGTCATACATTCTGATCTGTACTCTGTCTCCTCTGTTAAATTCTTTGGTTACTTTTATATTATCATTCTTGCATTCCTTTCCTGTATCTTCCCTTTTCACTAAATCTATCCTTGTTCTATACAATCTCTTAAACATCATCTCTGCAGGGCTTAGTCCAGTAGAGCTATTTGGTGTCTTCCTATACATCATTAGTAGCAGTATAAGTATAAGCATCCACAACAATAAGGAAATATTGATTCATAAATGGTCCTGCATAATCTATGTGAATCCGGCTCCATGGTTCTTTTGGATGTTCCCAGCACACTTGCATTTTTTTACCATCTTTTCTATATCTATATCAATATTCTTCCACCACACTTCTTGCTAACGCTTTCATCTTAACAAAGCCTGTTTGCGCTGAATGTAGTTCATCTAAGATAATCGGTTGTAACTGTTTGGGTATAAATTCTAATTCCATAAAAAATGCAGTTGCTTTGTAGAGAAAATTCATGAAGTCTCTTAGGGTCACTTCTACCTGATTGTATATCCATGTAGAGCTTTTGTAAGTCTGGGTCTTTTCTAGTAGCTTCTCTAATTTCTTGTAGTGTAACTGGCATTTCTGAGATTTGATTTAAGTAAAATGCATCATCATCTGTCAGATTGTCATTTTCTGTTTCTGTCGACTTATTTAATCTTGAAAAGTAGTCAGCATTTGCATGTTCTGTTGTCTTTCTGAGTTTTATATTGTAGTCAAAACCTGCTAATAAATTTGCGTAGTGCACCAGTCTAATCGCTGTAGTAGCCGGTGTAGCTTTTTCTGGACGTAAAATTCTAGACAGGGGTTGGTTGTCTTTTTTTTTTTTATAGGAGAGGGGGCAAACGAGCATGCGGCTCACCTGATGGTAAGTGACTACCGCCGCCCATGAACAACTGCAACACCAGGGGAATCGCAGATGCGTTGCCGGCCTTTTAAAAAGGAGTACGCTCTTTTCTTGAAGGTCCCTAAGTCGTATCGGTCCGGAAAAATCGCTGATGGTAATCGATTCCACAAGGAGGTCGTCTATAACCAATGTAATTTTTCTTCAGTATTAGCAGTATTGGAAGAACTTCTTTAGTCCCCATATCAATGCTGCTGTTTCTTTATCGAGTTGGCTGAAACGCGACGTCCTGCTTGAGCGATCTAGACGCGAACGCGAAGCGGCGCGGCGCGGCGCGAAAACAACAAACAGTCGAAACCTATTGAAGTGGCCTACGTGAGCAAACGCACGTGGGGTGCGGTGCGGAGCGGCGCGAAATGAAGCGAACGCGATCAGGTGGCTTGATATTTTCGCGCGAAATGGATGCGGTGTCGTCGTGTTTTGTTTGGACAATGTCAGAAAATTTTATTAATGCTATCCAAGAACGTCCTATATTATGGGATAAAAGGAATAAAAATTATCACAACCGGTTATTACCGTACCGTGAATGGGAGGATTTGGCCAAATTAACTGGGACTACAAGTAAGTACAACACATTTATTTATTATAGATTGCTATTACCCATATATCTTTGTAGAGAATGTTGTTCAAAATACAATTTAAAGTTTTCTCTCGTTTGTGCGGCTGCTCGTGATGTAGCATTAAATTTGTTGGGATAAAACAGATGAAACTTGAGGTGATAAAATAGACGAAACTGACTGGAGAACTGGAAGTTGATGTGATATTTTGTCTGGAGGGACATGTAATTCATGACGTGTGTCAATGGAACAGTTTCTTCATCGGCTAAGAAAGGCGTGGTAGACTCATTTCCAGGACTATCAAAGTCCAAGTCATACAGTGAAGAAGGGTATTACCTGGGTTCGGAGCTCCAATCAGTTTTCACGTTCTTTCATCTTGTCTTCAATTATAACTTCATAGTCAGTACTATTATTGCTACTATCTGATGCAGCATTCTCTGGAGGAACTAGTGCCATAGTTTTGCGCCTCTTTTGCCATATTGGCTTAGTCTGAAGCAGACAAAAAAAAAACATATAGAACCACACCCAAGGCATGACAAATCAACAATACATAAAATAAAATGTTAATATAAATACACGCTAAATTAATTGTTACTATAGCCGCAATCTTGAACATGCTCTACATACATATTACGAAGTACTGATTACGTCCCAACGTTGAGAATGTTCAACGTATCACTTTATTAACTCTGTGGTCGTAATGATTTCTTATATTTACGCGAATACTACACATTGAATAAAACTATTTTTTACGGATTTTATCGCGTTTAATTTACTATTTTAATTCCCGACGTTTCGGGTGCTTTACAGCACCATTAAAAGATCCATTAAAACCCGCGTGAAAGAACATATAGCTGACGTGAAGCACCGACGCTCTGGGAAGTCTGCAGTATGTGAACATGTTCAAGATCGTCACCGCCATTACATCAGATTTCATAGACCACAAGTCGTCGCAAAAGAACACCGATTCCTACCAAGGATGATACGCGAGGCTACTGAAATTAAAAAACATCCTAATTTCAATATAGAAGATGGATGGGTGCTGCCATCTGCTTGATCCTATAATTAACAAAATTAAATCCAAACCTAAGCATACCACTGCAAGACTTCAAGATACTGTATGCTCATTCTGCATAAATCGAACCAAAAGTTAATATTAAAAAACTGAAGGTAGCCGGGCTAACTGTGACATCGGGACGTCAAACATCTCAGTCCCCACGTGACCATGGGTTGCTGTAAAGCACCGGAAACGTCGGGAATTAAAATAGTAAATTAAACGCGATAAAATCCGTAAAGAATAGTTTTATTCAATCTGTGCTCGTAAGTTAGTCCATACAATGAAGTTATTTGTAATTATAATACTAAAATGGCTTTTTAAGAATAAAATGCTGGTGTGCACTACCAGGAAAACTTAAAAATATTTTTTATAAAATAAAATTACCTGCAATGCTGATTCGCTGCGCCCGTGACGCCATTTTATACAACATTGACGTAATATGCGTTCGGAAATGTCGAACTTTTTCGTTACAATTGCGTTAGTTATTCGTTGTAGGCATTAAATAATATCTTATAAAAAGTAATATAATAATAATATCTGCAAACGGGTTAATCCCGGTCAGCCTTTCGGGTCATCTGAGGCGACTGCATTTGAGCACGGGACTCCCGGCTCAAATCCAGAAAGCAGTGCTCCTTGATACCGCCGTCTGACGTTTCTTCCCCTTTCCCCCTAACCCTCGGCCGTTTGGTTTCCCCTACCGAGGGCTTCCCATCACAGATTACTGTATGCCAGCCTACGACAGATAGGACAGTGGTATGGTTGACGATTAGTTCCAAAAATATGCGCAAAAGCGCTTGTCGTAATGGCGGCTAGTGGTGACCCACAACGTACTATAAAAGTATCGATGACCATACGGTATAGAATATCGATAGCATATTGATGTTCCATAGAAAATTCTTATAGGGTTAATTTATTATTAAATATTATTTGCAAGGTTCATTAAGTTTCTTTCGTTATGTTCATAGGATACGAATATAACAAAAGAATGTAAAAATAAAACTACATTGGAGATTTTACTTTTTATAATTTTTTCCTCTTAACCTATGGGCTTTAAATTTGTCAAATGCAATTTGTTGTGGTGCACACATCTGTCTCACAAGTTTTTCCTGTACACCCCCTTTTAAAATTTTATTTATTATATTGTACCAATATGGACATGGGTGCGTATCATTAAATTAAGAAACCATTCCTTTACTTTAGTTTTATGATGTGTACACCCTAACCAATTTACATCAAATTTCTTAATTATTTCCATTTTTAAAAGTCTTTCTACACATTTTTTGAAAGCATACTTATTTAGGTAATCATGTATAAGGCCCGAGATATCCCTATATAACATTAAAAACTTCTTTGATGGATAAGTTAAATTTCCATTAAATTCTGTTTTAAAAGAGTGTATTCTCGCTGTTCGATCCATTTATGAAATACATCTCTTTTTGTTTGGGTATAAGTCTCAGAGCATCTCCTACAGTTAAATTCTTTTGTCACTCTCCTGCACATATACCCTGCTGTATATGCAGAAGAGTGGACGCGCAATCTTTCATTCACTGCATTTAGCGACTGGTTGCAACTGCTAATGTTTTGAGTCATTGTTATGGGCCCACTACATATAATAAGGCGTGATCCATTTCGAGGTTCCCTACTTTTTTAAAGAAAAAAACACAGAAAATTCAAATTTAATGGAGAATGTTTATTATCATTTGAAAGAAAATTCTTTGGCATTTATTTTTTGAAGATTATATCTATCAAATGTTGGCCGTTGCTACGTCGCAGATGGTCCATCCGTTGAGGCCAATTTTCGATGACTCGTTCGAGCATTTCGACTGGTAACTGGCGAATGACACGCGTGATGTTTTCCTCCAAGGCCTGAATCGAAGCGGGTATGTCCGCATAAACTTTAAACTTTACATATCCCCACAGGAAAAAGTCTAACGGTGTAATATCACACAATCTTGGTGGCCAATCGACCGGCCCAAAACGTGAAATTATGTGCTCACCGAAATGTTCTCTCAATAAATCCATTGATTGATGCGATGTGTGGGAAGTGGCATCGTCTTGCTGAAACCAAATGGCGCCGAGATCACGAGCTTCAATTTTAGGCATCAAATAGTCGGTTATCATTAGGGCTTCCAAAATTACGGATATGTTAATTACGTAACTGATTACGAATTTTGGTGGTCCAATTACGTAACTACGTAATTACGTAATTTCTAAGATATTTTTGAAATCGAATATTTTATTTTATAGGTAGCAATGGGTAATGTAAGAAGTGTACAAGAACTTTGATTAAAGTTTTTATTGAATACCAATCATATAACTTAATCTCCAATCACTACACAAAGATATTAGATAAATTAGATTAGATAGATTTATAACAAAATAAAGAGATCTTTTTCCTTAACAGAATGCTCTTTTATTTTACTTATTTGACTTTTCCTGAAAATGAGATCTCATAAACGACAACGCGTTTAGTGTTTTATCGCTTAATGAACTTCTTAATTTACTACATAGATAACCAGCTGAAGAAAAAGCACGTTCAGCTTCAACACTTGTTGGTGTAATTGATAGTAAATAATTATACGCTGCTGTGAGGTAAACTCCACGACCACCGCCAGCACTATCATAGATGCACATTTCCACTCTAACAATGGACTCAAGATCTGTGTTAACCGTAGATTTGTTTACCTGTGACGTGGCTTTACATATCTCTTTTTCTAATTCCTGGGCTACAGTTAACTCTTCGTCACTGGAGTCAGTATGTCCTGTGCTTATTTGTTGTATTGGACTTTGACTTGTCTGTGCAGACGTTGTGTTAGCTGTTAATTTCAGCCTTTCTAATAATCTTGTTATATATGTCCTTATATAATTTGACGTCGGTTTTGTGAAGGTTTCTGTTGATATGGTTTCGTAAAATTGTTCATTGTTATGCAAATACTGTAAAATACCAGATACACTCGTTCGTCTCTCTTTTATTCTTTTTCTAAGGGAAATAGCAAGCATTTCACTGAGTTCGTTGTGCTGATGATCAAGTTTATTTAACATAAACTGAAGAGCAGCATCTGCCGTCAATAAGTTTGAATCCCGGCGACACAAAGACATCACAGTTGTTTTTATAACATCTAAACTATGATGAATATCGTGCAGGTCTTGGATTTCTTTTTCTGTAAAATTTATATTTGATTTCAAATCCAGTAATGCCTTCATGACACTTGATTTTAATTTTAAAAATCGGC